GCTGAGTTCATACGGTGGAGGAAGGATGGGCAGAGGTGCTTCCACCTCTGCCAAATCATCCCGTGTTTCAAAACACGCCACTCCGCCCGGGTCCCGGCTTTACACTCCATCCGAGACACCCTTCATCCACCTCTCCAGATATTCTGCCCGTTCATTCCCATTCTTCCCTGCTGGGCCCCTGTCACTCACTCTGGGGTTCAAGATCCTTTCATTCACTCGGCTATATCCTGTGTCTCGATCAGAGCCTCTGGACAGCACAGGGAGAAACTCGCTTCCCTGAAGGGAGCAAAGCATCCGTGGGTACCTTTGCAATTCCAGGTGCAATTGTCCTCACAGGTGGCCCTGGACCCCAAGAGCACAGAGCTTACCTGAGGGTGACTTAAAGGGAGGAAGTCTGACTTGGTGACACTCTGTCCTGGGTGGAGGACCTGGGGAGAGGTGCACACTGGGAGATCAGCTTAACCTTCCTTGTTCTTAGTGGCTCCCACACTCTGACTCCAGCCCCCACTGTGTCAAGAATGCAGAAGGGTTCTGTACAGACAACTGCGGAACAGGTAGAGTTTCGGTGGAATGACCAACCCCAAGGTCCTGAATGGGAGCCAGCAGGGAAGGTTCCATTTGAGCTCCGAGTGACCTTGGCCCTATTTGGCCACCCCTTGGAACTACTTGGACCTCAGTATTCTCATCTATAAAGTGGGATTCTGAACCATGGTTCATGTCTTCTACTCCATATGTGACTGTAGGCCTTTGTGTTAGGAGTTTAAAAAGTAACCACAGACACCCCCCCCTCCCAGAATTGGGAATTTCAATACTTCTGAAACTACACTTACAGGGTCCCGAGGAAATGCCTGTGAGGGCGGCTGGAAGACAATGGGATTCTTGGTTGACTCTTCAGTGAAGCCAGTCTCTTCTTTGGAACCAATCGTCTTCTTGAGCAAGAGATCTGCAACAGCCACGGTTGTCTATGCTTTGTGGGGCTGCCTCAGTGCCCCAGCAGCAAAGCCACAGGCTCCAGGGTCCAGGCCAGGAAAAGAGAAGAAAATGGGAACTGACAGGCCAGGAGTGGCTGTGGGCAGGCCCTGCTGACTCTGCTACAGCAGCAGGCCAGAGCTCTGAAATCAGGACATGGCTCCCTCAAACCACCCGTATGTCTGTCCTTCTTTCTCCCCTGGTGGCTCCTGAGGACCGTACTAGCTCCAATCCCCCTTGAAGTCTCCCCTTAGAAGTTAGAGAAGGAAGACCAAGTTGGGAAGGCCTACCTGGATGGTTTGGAGTTTCCTTGATATACTTGGAATTGTACTCGGAAGCCATGAAGCGTGGACCCTGAACACACAAGGTGGGGCAATAGGGACACACACAGTGGGCCAGAATGGAGGGCACACATTCCATGGCAGTGGTGGTAGCTCTTTGGGTGTGTGAACTCCCAGTGGGCCTGGGAGGAGGAGACTAGCACAACACTCTGACATGATATCCGTCTGATATGCCTGAGGAGGAGGCATGGCAGTGTCCCGGAAACCTCCATGAAAACTCCAAGTCACACACCATGCTGAGTTCCTGGAAATGACCCTGAGGAACTCAGACAGAAGCAAGGGGGTCATGGCAAAGTGGGAAAAGCTGACGGAAGAAAATACATATAAGCTTGGGGCGCATGGGACAGGGCAGGGTATGGTGGCTACTTTGATGCAGTTTGGTAACTATCAAATTGAAAATGCCTTGCTCTTTGCAATGTTCCTCAGGGCCCGAGCCCACATGCAGGAGCTCCCTGAGAGAGTAATCACAGGTCCAGCCTCTGCAGGGGGAGGAAGCTGGTGTGGCCCCCCACTCCTTCCCATCCCCACCCACTCACATAGTGCGAGTTCTCCCACTCCACAGAGCCCTTGCCCTGCTGCTGGTGGAGCAGGGGAACCTCCTTGGGCTCCAGTCCTGTGATGGTCTGAGGTCCATGATCCTGGGTATCGAAATGGACCTTCTTAACCTAGAGGAGGGAATACAAGTGATTATCCTGGCGGGTGTGGGAATGTCAATCACTTTCTACCCTCCATTTCTACAGAGCGCCCTCATGGCGGTCTGTGTGGTTCTATTATCATGAAGGCAGTGGAGTCTCTCCTGGATCAGAGTTTACAACAGCTTGCTCCTAGTGACTCTCATAGGGACTCTGGGTCCTCAGGCTGCTATAAGCACTCAACACCTTGTTGGGCCCCTCAGCCAGAGACTCCTGCCTTGTGGCCTTTGCATTGATATACTGCTTGGAACACACATCCCTTTGATAGCTTTGGCTAGAGGAATGCTTGCGTCTCTTGAATCCTACCCAGTGTCTCCATAGAAACCTCTTTCCAAGCCTTGGGCGTGTACTTCATCTCTCCTCCCATGATGCATTTTCCTCTGCTCTTACCCCTTTCGACTTTTTAAATTTATTTTAATTTAAAAATATTTTTTAGTGGGGCTAAAGAGGTCCTGAGTTCAATTCCCAGCAACCACATGGTGGCTCACAACCATCTGTAATGAGATCTGGCGCCCTCTTCTGGTGTGCCGGCATACAAGATTTGTTAGTATGTTATGTGTCAGCTTGTGTATGCTGCATGTAAACCACAGAGGCCAGATGAGGGGATCAGATACCCCGGGACTGGAGTTCTGGGCAGTTAGGAGTCTCCTGATGTGGGCGCTGGGAACTGAACTCAGCATCCTCTAGAAGAGCAGCGCACACTCTTAATCTCTGAGCCCTACCTCCCGTCACTATCGTCATTATTGGCATTGAGATTCGGTCTAGTGTGGTCCAGGCTGGCCTCAAATTTGATATGTAGCTAAGGATATGCCTCCATCTCCCCAGTGCTGGGATTCCCAGCAATGGGCCTGGTTTTTGAAGTCCTAGGGAATGGAACCCAGAGCCTCATGAGTGTCAGGCAAGCACCAAACCCACGGAACTATAGCCTAAGCACACTCCCTCCAAACCTAAAATGTGTTCAGAACAGATTGGTTGGACGAACGAACACCTGCCCTCATGACCACAGTGGTGACTTGAGTGACACGAATGACGACAGAAGCAAAGAAGATGGGGGTGGTGACAGCGAGGGAGAGGCAGTGAGAGAGGTGGCAAAGAGTGAACACACGGATAGGACACTGGTCTCTGTGAGGGTGGAGCAGAGGTGAGGGTGGTGGAGGGGCAGGGGGATAGCATGGATGAAGATAAGATCACACTGGGGAGTGGTCCCTCACCCTAGACTTTGTCTTCTCAGCTTTGTGCAATGGTTGGAGGTGCTGGTCCTGCTTGCTAGAAAGAACCCACCCTCCCCGCCTTCCTGCACACATCCTGGGGTTCACTTCTTCCCCGCACAGGCCCCGCACTGACCTCCTTGGAAAGTGGTCCAGTATTGAGCTTCTCTCGCCCGTAACCAGAGGTGGTCTGGTACAGGTTCCAGGGCATGGGGTGTTTGCCATCAGGCACTTCTAGGGGACAGTAGCTCTGACTGGTCACAGATTTGGAAGTGTCACGAATCTGTTCCCTAAGGGGTAGGAGGAAGCGAGAGCTAGGACCTCTGGGGCCATCTGCCTTTGCTCTGGGGCTGAGGGCTGCATGACTCATTCCCAGAAGCTTCCATCTCTCCCATCCCTCTCCCAAGCACTTCAACTGGGCAGCGAGCCCAGAGCCACCCAGGCCTTGCCTTGGAGCCTGGGGCAATGACATCTCTGACAGCTAAAAATCAGCAGGACAGAGGTGGGAGGAAAGGGGTAATGGAAACTGTACCCTATGGCTGGGTTGTCCAGCGTATCCAGATGGGGCTGGTAGGAGACCACGGGCCGATAGTTGGATTTGTAGCCCGTGCCTACATGGCTCCCCATTCGGGGCTTGAACTCTTCCCGACCTGCCAGGGGGCAAGACCAAGACAGGACCAAAGGTCATCAAAAGCGGAGGAGTGGTTTCTAGGCCAGGTTGGCAGCCCCCAGGACCTGGGCCCACTAAGCTGGGGGAATACCCAACATCCCAGGTGATGGGAGCTGAGTAGACCTGACCCTTTAGAGAACTATGAGGGCAGGAAACAAATTCAATGGCGTGGGGACACAAGAACCGTGTGGCAGACTCACTGTGGTGACGGGATGAGGGAGGGGGCGGCTAGACAAGGCCAGCTTGACAGCATGAGTTTGGGGTTCAGGGAATAACAGACCAGCTCTGTGTAGCAGATCACTGGTAGGATTGGCCTAGAGACTGCACTGCTCCTGGCCTCTCTTCCCACCCGGGGTCCCGAAGGTAGCTCCCACAGAGGGGGGTCCTCACCATAGGCTGTGCAGTAGCTGGTAGCATAAAACTTCAGAGGGTCAGAGCAGCCCCCCGAACTCATTTTCACATAAGGAGAGACAACCCCGAGAGGGAGCTTTCCCATCATGGTGCTGTGGGGCAGGGCCCCGCGGGCCTGAGAAGAAACCATAAGGCCCTCAGGAGTCCTGACCCCAGGCTCCAACCCCAGAAGGATGCTGCACCCCAAGACAGAGGAAGAATCAGTCCGTATTCGGCTCACACTGGCTTATCTCATACCAGCTATCAAACGCCCCCATTTTAGAGCCAAGAAACTTCGGTGCCAAAGCTCTTAACAAGAGGCAGGAGCCGGGGTTCAGACCTGGGATTCAGACCTGGGGTTCAGACCTGGGGTATCTGAATTTCAGTCCTTTGGTCTGCCCCCCACCATGTGCGTTTTAGGGAGTACATGACCAGACTGCCTACCTGGAATTCCTCTCCTGTGAGGCATACTCCCACCCCCATCTCTTACTCAGTTCCTTCTCCAGTCCCCTCCCTCTGGAAGTTCTCTGTGCTCTCCTGGGACCCTAGACAGTAGGCCCCACCCTCACCTGCCCTCTGCAGTTGGCTCTGAGGTCGGCAGAGGCCACAGGAGGCAGGAGCTGCTCAAGAGAAGCCGGCCCTCCTGAGGTGGAGATGGCCAAGCTAGAAGAAACAGAGTGTTGCTTAGCAACCAGCACCTAGCAACAGCGTCCCAAGTCTCTGAAGCCCTTCTCAAACCACGGCCCAGTGAAGGGCTGACCTGTCCAGGAGAGGAGCGCCAGGCACGGCACAGACTTCTTTCTGTCTCCATGGCTCTGGCCCCAGCTGCCTGCACAGACCATGTCTTAACTGACAGAAAATGAAAGCTAACTCTGGACAATCGTTCCCATTTATAGAGTACCCACTTCTCACCCGACACTTTACATCCTTTATCTCCATCCTCCTCCCGGCTCTTCCAGGTAGCTATTATTATCCTCTCTTTGCTGGGGAACAAGAGGTTTAGACAGGCAAAGCAGCTCGGCCAGCCGGAGGTCTCAAAATCAAAAAAAAAAAAAAAAAAAAAACAAAAAAAAACTAACCCAGTTAAGATTCCACGTGGGTGGACCCAGATCACACTCTTATGCCTCTTGGTAAATTAATGTTTACTATGTTCTGCTCCAACCAAATCTGTGCTAAGCTTGTTACACACATTACCTCTTACAATTTCCAGACTCCCCGATGAGCTCGGGGCTCTTGGTATACGGCCAATAACCACAGCAGTGGATAACGCCGCAGCTTTAACCAGGCCTGTTGGCTTTGATAAGGTGCCTTGCCTTTTCATGTCCTCTCTTCTCCATCTGAATCAAGTATGTGACTTCCGGTAGAAAGTGTGGGTCCAGCGTTTGATGAAAGGAAGGGGGCAACGTTGGTACTTATCTGAAAGCTGTGGTCTGAATGCCGCCCCCAGACAACGCCACAGGGACACCCGTAACAGCCTGCATGCCTCAGGCTGGTTTCTGGCCTTGTAAACATTGTGACAGTTGGGTCTCCAGGGGTAGGGAAGGAGCTCTGATCACTGTCTGCCAACTACTGGGGTGCAAACTGCCATCACCGCTACCTTCCAACAACCAATGCCGTGTCCCAAATAGAAACTTCAAATAATCTCATGCTTAACACAGCAAGGGTTAACAGCCAGCCTGTCTATTTCCTGCCTTCAGTTGTCACGAGTGTATGAGCTTCTCCTCTGCGACAAGTGACCCATGAAGAAAAGGAACAGAGAGAGAAAGGGGCTGCCCTGCCTAGGATTAACAAATGTTACATTGGCCCACCAGCACCAGGGATCGTGAGTACGTTATACCCCCAACAGAGAAACCCCGGATTCAGAAGTGGCCATGGTCGAGGAGGGCTTCAGGACAAATTGAGGCACAATGGATCCTCACCCTCCAAAGTCATGATTCATCCCAGAGATTGGGGGTTCCAAGGACGAAGGAGTGAATGCATTCAGCCTTGCCTCCATCAAGCGGTTCCCAGCTTGCCAACAGAGATGCCCATGGGCACTCCACACAAAAAACATGGGAAGATTTGATGGCCATTGGTGGGGCACACTCAGGGCAAAGGCAGAGAGAGAGCGAGAGAGCAGTGCTCCTCCAGTCACTCCTGGAGAAGAGGTCAGAGCCTGAGCTCAGATTCCGAAGCGGGGTGGCACGGGCTCTGGTCTGCCACTAAATGCATTTGAAACTTAGGACAGGGTATATGTGCCTTAATAGCCTTTCTGGAAAATGGGGACAATAATGACAACTGCCCATGGGTTGCAGCACAAATGAAGCACGCAGCCAAGCACCAGTGCATGCTAAAGGCCATCTACTGAGGTAGGGAAAGCCCTGGAGACAAGCGCCCTGTGTGCGAGTGTGTGTGTGTGAGTGTGTGTGTACAAATATGGCATGCATGTGAGTATCAGAGAGGAGCCTCACTGTATGCTCTCTTTTTTTTCTGTGTCTTTTATTGCCCCTGAAGATAACAGGTGGGTGTTCACAGAATTAGGGATTTAGTATCTTTAGGGGATCATTGTCATCCTACCCTGTGCACAATTTTTTTCTTTTTTATTGTTTTTATTAAGCTAAACATTTTTCTCTGCTCCCCTCTCTTCCTTCCCCTCCCCTTCTACCAACTCCAGCTACACCCACACTCCCAATTTAATCTTGTCTTTTCCTCCTTCCTATGTAGATCCCTGTATGTCTCTCTTAGGGTCCTCTTTGTTGTCTAGATTGTCTGGGGTTGTGGACTGTAGGTTGGTTTTTCCTTTGCTTTAAGTCTAGAAGCCACTTATGAGTGAGTGCGTATTACATTTGTCTTTCTGGGTCTGGGTTACTTCACTCAATATGTTTTTTTCTAGGTTCATCCATTTACATGCAAATTTCAAGATGTCATTATTTTTTACTGCTGAGTAGTACTCCATTGTGTAAATGGACCACATCTTCTTTATCCAGTCTTCAGTTGAGAGGCTTCTAGGTTGTTTCTAGGTTCTGGTTATGACAAACAATGCTTCTATGAACATAGGTGAGCACATGTTCTTGTGGTATAATTGAGCATATAATTGAGCATCCTTTGGGAAGACCCAACAGCGCTATTGCTAGGTCCTGAGATAGACTGTTTCCTAATTTTCTGAGAAATTGCCATACTGATTTCCAGTGGCTGTACCAGTTTTCACTCCCACTAGCAACGGAGGAGCTTATCCCACATCCTCTCCAGCATAAGCTGTCATCAATGTTTTTGGTCTTGGCCATTCTTACAGGTGTAAAATGGAATCTCAGGGTTGTTGAGCATTTCCTTAAGTGTCTTTTAGCCATTTTAGATTCGTCTGTTGAGAGTTCTCTGTTTAGGTCTGTACCCCATTTTTAATTGGATTATTTGTTCTTTTGTTGTCCAGTGTCTTGAGTTCTTTGTCTGTTTTGGAGATCAGCCCTCTGTCTGATGTGGGTTTGATGAAGATCTTTTCCCATTCTGTAGACTACCATTTTGTCTTGTTGACCATGTCCTTTGCTTTACAGAAGCTTTTCAGTTTCTGGAGGTCCCATTTATTGATTGTTGCTCTCAGTGGTTTCTCTTCAGCTCATATAAATCTTTTGCCTTTAACTCAGTGTATGTTCTAGGCACTGTCTTGGTTTCTTTTCCTGTTGTTTGGACAAAACACTCTGAAAAAGGCAACTTAAAGGAGGAAGGGTTTATTCGGCTCACAGCTCAAGCGTACAGCCCAGCAAAGCAGAAAAGCTGAAGTAACAGAGGCTTGAAGTAGCTGTTCTCACCGCGTGCACAACCAGAAGGCAGAGAGCAGGGTCTGGAGGGTGGCGCGGGGGTTAAGGCACTTCTGCTCTTGCACACAGCACACTTCGGGTGACTCACAGTCATCTGTAACTCCAGATCCAGGAACTTCTATGCCCTCTAAGAAAACAGTGGAAAGAATGCATTCTACTCAGCTAGCTTTCTCCATTTTACAGTCCAGGTTCCCCTCCCTAGCCAGGGAATGGAGCTGTTCATAATTTAAATAGATCTCCCCACAGGGGCAGAGGCAGGGAGACCTCTGTGGGTTTGAAGTCAGTCTTGTTTACATTTGCAGTCCCAGGACAGCCAGGCCGGCAGAGAGATCTTGTATCAAAAAACAAAACAAACAAACAAAAATATAAGTCCTCCTATAAGCACATCCCGTGGCCCATCTCCAGTAAACTCTGGGTCCTGTCAAGCTGACAATGAGCACATACCATGATCGGTTCCTTCCACATTTTGCTTGAGACCTAGTTTCTCACTGGTCTGGAACTTAGCCACATAAGTCACTTAGCTACTCCCCGAGGTTCCAGGAATCTGCCTGTCTCTGTCTCCCATCCCGCCATGGCTGGAATTACAAGTTCATCCCTCTACACACAGTGTTATATGGACTTCCAGCCCCAAATCATGTCACAGGGACTTATTGTTAATTATGAATGCTCAGCCTTACCTTAGGCTTGTTTTTAGCTACCTATTTAAAAAAAAACTGAAATTAACCATTTTTATTAATGTGCTGTCTTGAGACTTGTTGACCTCACTTTCACACTGTCCATCCTACTTTCCTGCTTCCTCCGTGTCTGACTGGCTGACCCCCTGCTGGCTGGCCAGCTCCCCTTTTCTCTCTGCCCACTAGCCCCACTTATTCCTCTTCTGCTAGTTATTGGCTATTTATCTTTTTTATTAGACCAATCAGGCGCCTCAGGCAGGCAAGGTAAAACAGCAACACATCTTTACATAAACAATTATTATATTCCACAATACATGGTTTCCAGGGATCCAAACTCAGGCCCTCACGCTTGTGAGGCAAGTGTTTTACCTGCTGAGCCATGCCTTAGTTCTTTAGGCAAAAAGTTGAGGCATTTGGTTAAAGACAGGAATTCCACAGGATCTCAGACACAGTCATGTGATGGAATAAAAGAAAGCTCTACTCTGAGTTTGAGCTCAAAACTGTCTCCTCTGTAACTTCTCCGAGCCTGTTTCTGCATCTGCAATCCAAGAGGACACAGCTGACTCACAAGGTCAGGGGCTCTGATGAGGTGAAATACCTGGCAACCGTTGCATCTGGCAATCGGCACAGGCAGAAGGAAAGAGGATTCTCCACCAGGAAGGTAACGGCAAATGTGAAGCCGTCTTCAGCCTAGATTCTGAGACATATTTTATGTGACTGGATCCTGTACTGGGAAGAGAGGTTGGAGGAAAGTTCTAGATAGCCCCTTTGGGCATCTTGGGCTGCTGGACTTACAAAAGCAGCTGCTTAGGGTTGGCATCCCCGGGTTGTTGCAAAACTTGTTTTTTTGTTATGCAGCGGCATCTAGTGGTTATAACTCAGAACTGTGGGTGAGAAGGTTAATAGAACTGGGAACTCCTTGGAGGAGCTTGCCGAATGGAAAGATGGCTAGGACCTGGTTCACCTACACAGCCACTCTTCAGAACAAACTGGACAGGCCTGGATCTCACGAAGGACTGAAGCCTAAGGGCTTCCCACATGGATGAAGGTCCTTGTAGCCAAATTGTGTGACTTGGGCCTCTCTGTGTGCCTAGGTTTTTCTACCTCTACAGAGAAGCTAACAATCGAGGTTGAAATTCAGGACTCACGTCACCCCTCGCTCTTCCTGTAATTGTTACTATTTATTAACTACTATCTCTGTGTGGGGCACCAACCTAGGAAATATTTGACTCTTTACTTTTGAGACAGGGCTTCACGTCTACTTGCTATGTAGCCACTGGTGGCCTTGAGTCTGTGATCCTGCTGTCTCCACCTCCCAAATGCTGGGATCACAGGCATGGGCTACTATACTCAGCACATACAATGCTGGAGGTTTAACCCAGCTTTAAGTATGCTAGGCAAGCGCTTCACCAAGCAAGTTACACTCCCAGTCCTCACCCTCTGCCATCCCATCAATTTCTGCTCCGGCCCTAAGAGTCAGTGATTGCTGTAACCTATTTTACAAATGAGGAAAACAGCAGGAAGAGGTGGATCTTGGATCCAAATCCAGCTTTAAGTCAAGAGTCCGTTCCCTTCCTGCTGGAAAATCCTCTGCAGAGCGCTGGGAGTGCAGCCGTGAGCTCTGACACCACTCGGTTCAGCCTAATGGTTTTGCAAAGTAATGGCTGCCTTGGGCAGAAGGGCAACATCCACCTCTTTTTTAGATCTGAATCAGTTCAGGTACTTACGCTCTGGGCTACAGGTCCCCATAAGAGAGCTAAATGGAGCATGTAAGATGTCACACAATCAAGCATGCATGGTTTCACCTCGGCTGGTGTATCTTGATGGCTGAGCTCAGAGTGCGGAGCTCTCAAGAAGAGAGAGGCCAGCAGATTCCAGCTTAATGGAAGGGTACCATCCATTAGGGGCAGTCAAGGAAGAGCCGCGCAGGCTGACAATGACAGCAGACCGACTCGGGATTTGCAGGTACCAGACACCGACCGTCCTGATCATTTCCCACACTTTAGCACACCTGAACCTTACCACAAGCAGTGGAAAAGACCAGATTCCACTTCAAGGGTGAAGAAGCTGAAGCCCAGAGAGCCTGCCTGCCTGGGGTCACACAGCTACTGAAGGAAGCAGCCACTATCTGAAGCAGGTTGGCCTGCCTCCAAGGCCACACTGCTAACCACTTTGATAGCACCTCATGGGCTGTGTCAGAGGTTCTCTGATCTCTTTTCAAAAACCTTACTTTTGATGACATGGTTTCTTAGGCTGGTTGGTCTTTGGTCTTTCGAGACAGAGTTTTTCTGAGTACCCCTGGCTGTCTTGAAACTTGATTTGTAGTCCAGGCTTGCCTAAAACTCAGGGATTCAGCTGCCTCTGACTCCTGAATGCTGGGATTAAAAGCATGCACCACCACTGCTTAGCCTAAATACAAAAAAAAAAAAAAAATCCCTCTGGTGGTATCTCACACCCAGTACCTCAAATGCCCTGGGCAAACAATTCACAAAAGGAGAACATTAAAAGTAAGGCAGGGGGGTGTGGATGTAGCTCAGTTGGTAGAGTGCTTGCCTAGCATGCATGAGGCCCTGGGTTCAATCCCTAGTACTCTATAAAACTGGTGATGCCACCACGCAGTGGTCCACACATGGAATCACAGCATTCAGGAGGTCGAAGAAGGATCCTAGAAGTTCAGTCTCTGCTACAGAGTGAAGTCAAGGCCAGTTTAGGCTACACGAAACCTTAACTCAAAAAGGAAAATAAATAAAGATTTTAAAGAGCCCTAATTCTGGGGCCTCATGGATATGCCTTTCCATCAGAGATCTGTCAGACTGGCTAAGGAGGCTTGTCCTAGTCATGGCAGTGGGAGGTGGCTGCTTCCTGGGCTGGAGAAAAGAGAGGAGACACAGCCAGAGCGAAGAGGAGTCTGAGTGGTGCCAGCACAAGGACCACGGGGGAGTGCGGGTGATGTGGCTGGGTAGACAGGTCATGTGTCCAGAGATGCCGGTGGACGGGAGCCATCTCTACTTTCTCTACACTGGAACCAGTGAGCCTTAGTGAGGCAGCAGTGCCAGGACAAGACCAACCTTTAAAACTGCTTTGACAGACTGGGGTGGCAGGCCAGTCAGTAGCATGTCTGCCAGGCAAGCAAGAGAATCTGATTCAATCCCCAGAACCCATTTTTTTTTTTTGATTTTTCGAGACAGGGTCTCTCTGTAGCGTTGGAGCCTGTCCTGGGACTTGCTCTGTAGACCAGGCTGGCCTCAAATTCACAGAGATCCACCTGTCTCTGCCTCCTGAGTGCTGGCATTAAAGGCGTGCGCCACCACCCAGCTAGAGCCCACATTTCTAAAAGAAGGGGAGGACTGGAGAGATGGCTCAGCACGCATTGCTCTTGCAGAGGACCCAGGTTCAGTTCCCAGTACCCACATGGGAGTTTATAATCATCTCTACTCCAGTTCAAGGAGATCTGATGCCATCTGATCTCCACAACCACCATGAACATAGATGGTGATGTTGTGTGACCAAACCTTTTGTGGAGAGAACAACATACACATCTACTCACCCCAGACAGGGAGTCCACGACAGACAAAAGTATCAGGCAGGTCTCTACCATCAAAGTCCAACCTGGTTAACCAGCGAGTTTCATTGGGGTCACTTGCAGGAGTGTGAGTGAGGGATTACTTCCAGGAGAAGAAACGAGTCAATAACAACTGCATCACCAAAGCCCACCCAGCATGGGTGACAGCTCACAAAGCAGAGACCTGGCACACTGAACAGCCTGTACCAGTTCAGAAAGTTGGAGAACGTTCTTTCACATGCCTCAGTTGGTCTGAACCTCTTCCAGGCAACTCAGCTGGCTTCTGCGTCTTCCAGGAAGCTGGTCTGGATTCAGAGTCTTGTTTGCAGCTTGGCTCATCTTAGAATTCTTTGCAGCCTGCCTCGTCTAAGAGGGACTCTCAGCTTTTACAGCTGGTACAGAAAGGCACAGTGAGTCTGATGAGTTTTGGGGACTTCCTGAAGCCATTCAGAGTCCTTTATCATCTGCCAGGATGGAATGGCAGAGAAAACTGTTGCATGCACGTGTCTCTCTGTGTGTGTGCATGTGTGTGCATGTGGCCGCACATGCACACACACACACAAGAAAAACACTCACACACATTAGAAAATAAAACCAGGTGTAGTGACATATGCCTATAATCCTATCACTTGGAAGGCAGAGATAAGAGGACACTTGCTTGGAGCTCACTAGTCAGCTGGTCCAGCCTACTGGGCAAGTTTCAAGGCAGTGAGACACTCTGTCTCAAAATACAAGACCGACTGTGGAAACAGCTCAGGCAGCAAAGTGCTTGTTGTGCAAGAATGAGGACCTGAGCTTGATCTCCAGAGACATGAAAAAGGTGGGGGGACAGTAGCCCACCCTGTAATCCCAGTCCTGAGAAAGAAGGAACAGGAGGATGGGCCACTGGGGCTCACAGGTCAGTCAGTCTAGCCAATCTGTGAGTTCTAGGTTCAGTGAGAGACTCCATCTAAAAAAGATAGGTGGATAGTGACTGAGGAAGATACCTGATGTTGACCCCTGGCCTCCACACACATGCACACCCATGTACATACACAAACATTAATACATACAAACAATGATTTAAAAAATAAACATGGTGGGCAGTGTCTAAGCAGTAACAGTTAAGGCTGTCCTCTGACTTCCACATGCAAAAGTAGATGTGCATGCAGGGTGAGTTAGCACGAGCACGCATGTGCATACACACACACACACACACACACACACACACACACACACACACACACTGGGGACTCTTTCCATGGACTGACATCACCCTTGGAACAGAAATACCCTGAGTCTAATATGTTCAATGCAATTTCTCCCCAGCTCCCTTCTCAGAGATACTGACTCCCAGGACGGACAGGGGCTCTCTCCTCACTCCTAACAGAACTCAGCCTTTCTGGAAGAACTCTTACTACCCTGATTTGATGGCTGTTCTGGCTCTGCCCGTTCTGTTCTCTGTCTCCTCAGGTGAACTTGTTGATCTTGCAGAAGATTTAAAAATTTATGACTCCCTCAGAAGATGCAGCAAGGAAGAGCGAGCATGAGCCAGTCTCCATCTCACACAGCAAGGGAGAGTCTCCAAAGCAAGGCAGCCACTTGGGAAAGGGGCTAGAGGGCAAGTCCTGCAAAGGCCAGGGATCTGGGCTCATATCCCAAACTCAGGCCTCCCCTCCCTATGCCCATTTCCTCAACTGCACGCTGGAATCATGGAGAGACGGTTCAGAGCGGAGTGGAGGAGCCAGAAAAGGCAGTGCCCAACTGCTGAACACACAGCCTGCCACACTGGCAGTAACCACACTCCCAGCCTGCCTTGCGTTGGAATGGCTGGAGCTATGGGAGGAGCTACTCGGTCACTCCCATCCGAGGTACCCTGGAGGCACAGGGGTCCCCCTAGAATGGAGAGCGAATGAATGTCAGGCCTGGCAGGTGGGAACAGCCTGATGTTATTATGGCGGCCTGCTGGGATTTGAATGTCCCCCAAAATCCATGTTGAAAACCTAACCCCCAAATTTGTGTGTTTGCTGGTATGAAGACGGGATTAGAGTCAGATGATGTCTAGCAGGTTGGGTCCATGATGGCAGCATTAATGACTTTACATGAAGAGAAGGGACCCCTGAGCAGACACCCTTCTGACAGGTATTGACGTGTCCCTCTGACCAGTATGGCACCATACTCTGGACTTCCCGGTCTCCAGAGCTATAAACTAAATACATTTCTGTTTTAATTGACCTAGTCAGTGGCATTCTGTGATCGCAGCAGAAGACAGACTGACCAAACAGCCTGAAGCCACTAACACGTGCTGGTCTGTGACCTGCAATACTCCACATGGGCACATGGAGTGCTCTGCCAGTGGGAGGCCCAGAGTGAGGGCAATCAAGACGTCTCAGCAAGCCCACCATCAGCCCTCAGTGACTCGTAACACAAACAAGAAGCAGATATGTGCTGCTGGGAGCCACCAGGTTCTGGGGTCTGACACTATATACAACTTAGTATATCCTGACTTTTATACATTGTTATCATCAATATTGATGGGTTGATCGACTGACTGATGAGTCTACATGTATACATGTTTATTTGTGAGGATGCCTGTGGGCCACAGGATGCATATAGAGTTCAAAGGTCAGCCTCAGGCGTTGGCCCTTCACACTAACCTTGTCTGAGGTAAGGTCTTTCTCATTGTTTGTATCTGTGCTTCATACTCCAGGATCCTGGCTGGAGCGCTTCTAGGGGATTCTCCTGCCACGCCCTCCCACACTGCCATAGGCATTCTGCATATACCCCACTGGACCCCGCTTTACAGGTTCTGAGGATCTGAGCTCAGGACATCAAGCTTTCCCAATAAGCACTTTTACCCATTGAGATGTCACCCCTGGCCCAACCTCCATAATTTTAAATAATTTGTTTTTATTTTATAATGCTGGGGATAGAACTCAGGGCCTTACAAAATTGTAGGCCAGAACTTTATCACTAAATTATATGTCTGTGATTAAGCATCATAATTTTTAAGTACTACATTGTTATATTTTATATGTTAAATGTCTCTCGAGTGTTAATGTGTCAAAGCCCAGGACCCTACAGTGGTGCTATTGGGAGGTACTATGGCCCTTTAAGAAGTGGAGCCTCACCAGAGTTCCTTAGGTCACTGGAAGGGATTTGGTTCTCAGGGATTTGGTGACCTTGGCTTCTTCCTTCTTTTGCTTCCTGGCCACAAAGTGAACTGCCTCTGCCACACAGTTCCTGCCATAGCTGGCTGGCTCCCCCATTAGAAGCCAAAGCAGTAGGTCTGTCCAGTCCTAGACCAGAAAGAACCTCTGAAACCTTGAACCAAACAACTTTTTTGTATTTATAATTATCTCAGCTGTTCCCTCATAATGAAAATCTGTTTAACTTTATATTTAAGTGCAGTAGGTTTAGCATGCCACATAAGATCTGTCATTCTCCCTTCTTGAAGCTCCAACCTAATGCTTTCCCGCCGATGCCCTCCGTTCTCGCCCTGCCAGGAACTTGGCAGCCCTTCCCAAACACACCCTGCACCCTCCACATGCTTGCCTTTGCCTGCACAATTTTCTCTGCCTGCAACCCCTCTCCTTGCTGGGGTACCCCTCCCAGGGCACAGACTGGAAAGTCCCTTCCTGCACAGAGCTCCTCAATGGTTCCCAAAGTGACAAGGATCACTCTCCAGCTGCATTTGTGTTTTGTTTGGAAAGACGAAAGTCATATTTAAGAAACGGGATCCTGTGTGCTACCAGCTACTAGAAGATCAAGAGGCTGGTCTTGAGGTTCAGTGGGACCTGACTCGGGAGCTGGAGCGCTCACTAGAGACTGAGGTCTTGGACAGTAGCCTCATACGAGACAGGTGGCAGAATGCAGGCCCAAACAGCAGTGTGGTGCCCCCAAGAGGACGGACCCCTGCTGTTTCAGGAGGGATACAAACCAGAAGACACATGGGCAAGCAGCATGACATCTCCTCGCCTCTGCTGCTCAGCTCAAGTGGGGATGATGAGAGGGCCCGCTCTTCTGTAGAGATAGGAGTGAGATACGCATGCAGCACACCGCACGCACGTAAGCACTGTTCAGCTTACAGTCTGAGACTCAGGCTCCCAGAGGTGATGACTAACCAAATTAGGGGAAAGAGGAACTGTTTGACTGTTTTCCTGACACTGACCAGGCAACAGGTCATGTGACCCAGGTTCCCAGCTCCAGCGCCTCTGGCAATGCTGCACAGGGGCCTGTTATGTGGCAGGAGTCTCCTGCGATTTCTGGAAACTCTGCCCACTCGCACACCACTGAAACTAAACATTCTGGACGCTGACCACCATTCTATTCCCTTTGGTGACAAAGTGAAAACCTGTGCCAGAGTAGGCAATCCTTCGAGTCTTTTGCTTTCTCCACCTCCATACATAGGGCTCTGCCTGGGAACTGATGAAGACAACCCAAGGACAGTAAGTAGGGAGGCTTCAGGACTCAGCCCCTTCCTTCTGGTCTCTGGAGACAGACCAAGGACATGCCTTCTGGGAAAGCTGAGGAAGCATCCAGCTGAGGCTGGGGGGTGGTGTTGATTCTTTGGCAACTTCACATCATGTACCCCAATCCCACTCATTTTCTCTTCCTTCCATATCCGCCCTCCACCCGTCACCTCCCCCGCAAAAGAAAATAAGAAACGAGAATTAAAAACTAACTGGGCAGTCATGGCATACACCTGTAATCCCAGCAGTCAGGAGGCAGAGGCGGGAAGATCTTTGTGAGTTCGAGGCCAGCCTCTACAAAGTGAGTTCCAGGACAGCCAGGGCTGTTACAGAGAAATAGAGAAACCCTGTCTTGAAAAACCTTAAAAAAAAAAAAAAGGAAGAAATCTCCCCAGTCCCTCTTGGCAGGACCTGCTCCTCTCAACCACAGCCATCTCTCCTCACAGCTGTGTGCACCTCCAGTTTTCCAGTCCGCTCCGTCTTGCCCACCTCTCCATCACGTATTTGTGTGTTGTGGTGGCATTGGAAGCTATGCTGTGTTACACAGTATACCCTTTTGCCCAAAAAGCTTTACTTGAAAATGTTCATCGCAATGAGTCATTGGTTTGGTTCAAGGTCTCTGGTTTCTGCTACACCATCGATATTGGACCCTCACCAAGATTCCTCTTTGATATCCTGCTGTTGTCTTGATCGTGGAGATTCTGTGGTTATGATTCTGCAGGACCAGCCCCTTCACACATTCCAGAAGTTCATAGATGGGGTAGATGCATAGATGGGGGGCCAACTCAAATCTCTGAATCTGGGCCTGGGTGGTAGCTGAGTTGGTCAGTCTGCCAGCTCTCCTATGCTGCCTAGGCGAGGGGTGGGGTATTGCTGAGTCTTGAACCCAAGGCCTTGTGTATAATAGGTCAGAGCTCTACCACAGAGCTATGTTCCTGGATCCCTGGACCTGTCGAGTCTCTAAAGTATAGTAGAGGTGCCACATTAGTAGTCAGCTCTGAGGCTGGAACTCAGAAGCATGGTTTGAAAGAGAGTAACTTGTATACGTGTGGTCAGGGACATCCTGGTATGGATAAGGTCACTAGAGTATCCAGAAAAAAAGGGGTCAGCATTAGAAAGATCACTGTTTTCCATAACTTGGCCATGACTCACAGAGGCAAAGGTATGACCAGATACTCAGCAGGAAGCCCAAGGTAATGTCAGACTGTATATCCAAGGGCAGAGGTTTCTCCTACGGTTCAGCAGCAATGACAACAGTTGCCTAAGGTTCACTTGGTCTGAGGATGCAGAGGTCTCAGTGTGCTTGGGAAGGGACACTATCCTAATGAGGCAGAAAGATAGTGACACACCATGAGTTCACTGTCCCCAGTTGCACTGGTGACACACAATGAGCCTGTTCTAAGATGAGCTGGTGACGCACCATGCGCCTTCTGTTCTAATCTGTGTCAAACTGCAGCAAGCAATAACAAGGAAATGACAACGGAGCTAAATCTCCAACTTACCTCAGGAAAGGTGGCTTCTTCATACTCAGTTTGAAATAACATAGGCAGCCCTCCTGCTGTGTGTAGCCCACTGTTGTGATCAAGCGGCCTCTGGGAAATGAGCAGCAGTATAATGGCAGGTTGAAGGTCCTTTACCCACATCCCTCTGGCCTGACTGATAACCCAGCACCAACCTCCTTACTGAGGCTCCCTCTGGTTCCCTGGGTGTCTAGAGGTTTCCCACACACTACAAAGTGAGCCATTTATGCACAAAGTGGAAATGATGCAGAAAGTAGAAATGGAATCCTGGCCAGATACCCTCATCTCTCGCACCATCAATCCTTTTGTTTGCCAAGTCAAGATTTACTTCATAGTCGGGGCACAAGCCCCCATATCTAGCTCAAAGTCCAGAAGCTGTGGTGATATGCATAGTCTTGTCTCATGTTTGTGTGGCTTTTCTTTGTCCAAGCACTCAGCCACCAAAGGCCTGACAGACCACCCTGGTAACCTGCTCCAGATAGGCGGGACCACCAGCCACTGCTGGGCTCCTGGGCTCTGCTTTCAGTCTTCCTGTTGGCTCAGCCCTTCTCTCTGGGCAGGTGGGGCAATCTTCCTTTGTCATCCTACTCCTTGGCTATAAGGAAGATGGCAGAGCAAGCTATCCCTAGGAACAGCGTACCGCCCCCACTGCTAGACCAATGTCTAGCTGGAGTAAATAATCAATAGTATTAGTCATCCTTGCTGTTCAAAGAGCAAAGGAGAAATTGCATGTGTTCAGGTAAGATTGATGTACTAAGTGCTTAGAGTTGGAATTACTAAGTAACTACCTTCAAAAAAAATTGAGGGTTTTGGTAGGTAAAGGTGCTTGCTTTGCAATATTATTAGCCCGGAGTATTCAATCTCCAGAACCCACATGGTGAAGGGAGAGAAAGGGACTTTCACAAGCTGTCCTTTGATCTCCACACACAGACTGTCATACATGCCCTGCTCTGTCCCCACACATTTCAAAAGTTAAACAAAAACTGAAGTGGGAAGTTCTCCAGTTCAAGGGACAAATTCTCATTCACACTAGGCAATCAGGGACTTTCCTCCCTGTAAGCAAAGCTACATTGGAGACCAATTTACCACCTGCATCGATTATCAACTGAGGCAATAATGGCACATAGCAAATGAGCCCAAAACTTGCTGGTATGAACTAATAACCCATAAGAGTTTGTGGGTTAGCAATTAGGACTGGGTGTGCTAATTCTGGTCTTTATTTTATATGTATGAGTATCTTGCCTACATGTTTGTCTATGCACCATGTATGTATAGTACCTGTGGAGGTCAGAGAAAGATACTGCCCTGAAACTGGAGTTACAGTTTTGAGTTGTCATGTGGGTGCTGGGAACCCAACTCAGGTCCTCTACAAGGGCAGTGAGCGCGCTTAACTGCTCAGCCTAATTCTTCCTGTCTTTACCAGATTCGCATGTCAGTTGAGACATATTCTCCCTGCTGCTGCTGCCTTGGGGGGGGGGTGTCAGCGGCTGAGACACACAGACAAGGCCTCCCAATCCTTCTATTCAGCCATTCCTCTTCAGCCATCCCTGGGGTGTGGACTGTATCTCATTGATTTGTCTGTGTGTCTGGTACTGAGTATAGCATGCTGCTTGGCAATCAATGAAATAAAGCACAGAAGACAACAGTGAGCACTTCAAGGAAAGACAAGGCCCATTCTTCTCCATCCCCAGTGTCTAGTGAAAACCATTACAGTATATCTTTCCAATTAGATTTCTGAGCATTGCTCATCCTGTTTCTACTCAGACAGGATCTAATTCAGTATCCACTAAAACCTCCCACGGCCTGACTCTGCTGAGGGATGGGAGCCAGGAGCAGCAGGAGTCTGGGAGCAAGCATCCAGCTAAAGAGGGCTAGCCTCAGGGTCTCCAGCCTCAGGAGGAACCTCAGGAGGCTGGCTTGTCAGCAACAGCCTTGATACAGAAGCTGTGATGGAGTAAAAGCCAATCTGGGGACCCTGGAATGAGGTCCCAATGTGTTTGCTGACAACACTCATCCAACCCTCAGGCATACCCCTCACCCCCACTGAGGAAACAGCCAGTCAGTGACAGGACAACCCTGTAAGCACCAGACTTTGTCTTTGTTGGGCAGGGGAGTAGAAAATACTCACAGTAGGATAGGAATTCTAATCCTGCCCTTTCTCCCCCTAAGTCCAAAGGAAGTCTGAGCTCAAACTCTCAGCAACAGAGTTTGGCTTCAAGTGTCCTACTTGGAGGGCTTAAGTAATTAAGTCTGCAGTGGCTAAGGCTGTGACCATCTCTCTGTGAAAATCAATGCCCCAGGGTACTCATTACGGTTTGAATATGAAATGTCTCCCACAGGCTTATACTGGGGACTGCATTGCCAGCTAATACATTTTTGGGAAGTGACTGGCTCCTGAGGACTCTGACCTCGCTCCTTATGGAGCTATCATATGGTGGCATTATTTGAAGGTAGTAAATAGCAAGAGGTGGGGCCTAGCTGGAGAAAGTAGGTCCTGGAGACAAACCCAGGATGCATCTTGTCCCTTCTGTCTGCTTCTCCCTACTGCCTGCCCACTGAGATGGAGAATGTTGGCCCTCCATACCCTTCTGCTGTAGTGCCCCGTCAACAGCCCCAAAGCAACAGAGTCAGTCAACCACGGACCGTAACTTTTGAAACTGTGAGTCAAAACAAACCTTTCTTCCTTTTAAGTTAATTATACTAGGCATGATTTTACAAGAAGTGACTAACAGTTCTACAGGGAGCCACTAAGGGGTAGCCACAGCTGACTCATCAGGATCGGCAGCCTTCCACAGACTGCGGCAAGATCTACAAAGGGGCTAGTGCCATGAAGCAGCGTGGTACACAGTAGCCCTGGGGGACACTGTCTCCTTTCAGACCCTATTACTTCCTACCTGTGACTCTGATCAAGCAACCCATTCTCTGCAGGTCAGATACTCATGTGTCTGACGCAGGCTCTGAATGAGGTCAGTGAGCAGCAACATGTCAAGCTGAGAACAATGAGTCTAGCTGGTGATTCTTATGGGTCCTGAGGAACTGCTGGCCCTGGTGATATGTTTATTAACATTTTTGAAAATGCACTGTGGCTGGCCTAGTTTTCCTTAATGCCTAATAAAGAGGAAAAGTGTTTACATAGCACCCTTGGGCTTGACACTGAGCAGCTCAAGTTAGCACGATCCTTCACTTTCAAAGATTACACAAACCAGCAGCATAGAAGGAAAACAATTCCTTTAGAAGCATGCCATTCTCAGGTGCAAGTGACAGCAACCGAACACTATGTGAAATAAGACAAATGAGGGTAAGAAGGGATCAGAGTTGAGGTGGGGAGAGCCGATACAGCATACATGGCTTCTGGGGTTTGTTGTATAATGTGCTCAGGATAAATAGGGAAGGTGCTAGCAATTCCTGTGCATTCCTTACAGTCCAGATGTTTCTATATATAAACCCTACCTATTTAGCAACCCCCCCCCACCCCGAGGGACATTAGAAGTCCAAACAAAGGGCCAGCATCTCTGTAACCTTCTGCTTCTACTCCCTAGGTCTCATTCCCATTACTTGTTTTAAGTGAGAGAGAGCTATACTTTCCCATCAAAGGACTTGTCACCAAGATAGGTTTTTTCTTTCCAGTTTCCACTGGCTGGTAAGGCACTCTGTGGTTACTTTAATAGGCTTAGCCTTCTGACTTTCAGATGAAACTGTCCTCATGTATGCGTGCAATTGATGATAGGCAATCTGTTAGATGATAGGCTCTAAGTCTCAGGGTGAGACTACAAGCAAAGTCTCCTGTCTTTCTATGGTGCCCTGTGTGCTGGGAGCCATCCCAGTGTTATGAATTATAGCTCCTAGTTTTCTTGAGACTAAAGTGATTACCGCCGTTAGTTGGAAACCAAAGCTTAGACCAGTGAGTTTATTCAGTAGCTAAATGATGAAGGGGAAGCTTGAACTCACAACCATTATGCTGCACTGCTTCCTCCCCTATCTGAGCTATTTTGGGTGGCCAAGGTGAGGCAATGTCCCTTATCTGGGAAGTAGTTGGGGGCCTCCTGCTCACCACAGGGCAACACAGAGCTCGTGTCTCAGAACTGTCGTTTATTTACTAGCCTTCTCTTTTCCAGTCCAGAAGTGAAGGTTGTTACTCAATGTTAGAGCCCTGCCATCTAGCAGAAAGAAAGATCAAACAATAAGAAATTCCAGATTTTTTTCTTTTTTTTTCATGATTTATTTTTATGTGCATTGACGTTTTGCCTGCATGCATGTCTGTGTAGGATGTCAGATCCCCTGGGACTGGAGCTACAGTTTATGAGCTGTTGAGAATTGAACCTGGGTCCTCTGGAAAGTCAGCCAGTGCTCTTAATTGTTGAGCCATATCTCCAACCATATTTACTTTATTCTATATGTTTTGCCTGCATGTATGTCTGTACAACAAGCGTATGAGTGCCCAGAGACCAGAAGAGGGCATCAACATCCTTTGGAACTGGAGTTAGACAGCTGTTAACCTTCAACCTCCTTCTCTTGATATCGTTCAATATTCAATAATCTTTCAGCTTACAAAGTGCACGTTGGGAAGAAAATCTGAGAGGATGTTGACTTCAGCAGCGTACCCACACCATTCCTGCTTGGCGGCCTCCTCCAGCTTGCTGTGCCTTGGGTGGGCTCAGTTCAGGGGCTTAGATTGGCTCTCTCTGGCAGAAAGAACTATACCAGATTGGAAGGGGGTAGTTTTACCTTAACAAAGGCCAGGGCACTGGGTGTAGGGTGGGCAGCTCTTCAAATAGCAGCTGCATTTCTTGTACTCTTGAGGCCAAGGCAGCCGAATTGCTTCCCCTACAGTGCCCTCTTGTGGCAGGCCTGTACTACAGCACATAGTGGCAGGATAAGGAGTCTGACCCGAGCTGTACAGACAAATGCAGGTTAGAATGAGTGAGCTATCTTGCATATTATATGTTTGTCCTGGTAGAGGTTCAAGTGCCTAAGAAAGAGCAGGAAGCCAGAGTCTGCACCAGAAGCAGTTTCTGTCCATATACTGACCACCATGACAGCCAGTGGCACACAGCTTAACGAGGCTTTTCAAAGAGATATTCCAGATCTGGGGCCCGTAGTCTCTGCTCTTTGTTTTTGTTTTTGGTGAACTCTCTCAGCAGTTCCATGACTTCATTTTCAAATATTTCTGGAGCTGGTTTTGCTTCTGCAACAGAAGGGTGGGCAGAAAGAATTGTACCATAGTCAATGCTCACGTGAAGAAGCGGAACTATGAAGCGGCAGACAGTGCTCATGCCTGTAGTCCCAGCACTTATGAGACTACGGCAGGATGATTATTGCAAGTTCAAGACCAGCCTGGGTCACTGAGAGAGCTCCAGGCTAACACGGGCTAGAGTGAAACCCTATCTCCAAAACAAAACCAGGGGCTGAGAGAGGGCTCAGCAGTTATAAGTGTTTGTTGCTCTTAAAGTGGACCAGAGGTCACTTCCCTAACACCCATATCAGGCTGCTCACAATTACCTTTAACTCCAATTCCAAGAGATCCCATGCCCTCTTCTGGCCACCTACAGGCACCCCCACACATATATCAATTAAAAAAAACAATAAATTTTAAGGGCTAGATCAAAGGCTCAATGGGTAGATATCTGCCACTAAGCCTAATAACGTGAGCTCAATGCCTGGATTCTACATGGTAGAAAGAAAGAACCAACTCCCACAAGCTATCCTCTGACCTCCTACACACACATACACACACACATAGACACACACACACACACACACACACACACACACACACAATTTTTAAAAGAAAAGGTAAATTTCTTTTTAAAATCTAAAAGCAAACAACAACAAAAAGCAAGATGAAACTCTGGCAATCGCCAAAACAGATGGATTAGACCATGGGCCTCCAAATACTCCAGGCTAGTTTGTGGTACAATGGCAAAGTTGGGGGATGACAACAGACTCATATGGCTTCACGATTAAAATATTTACTATCTGATTCTTAAGGAACAAATCTGATGACCCTTTGCTTATGCAATCTTGGCTACGCTGCTCTGCTTTGCAGTTGGCCTCAGCTGTCTTCTGGGTACACTGAGTAATTACCCCCTTACCTTTGGTTTCTATGTCACAGTATCACTTAACTTGACTCCTCTATAGTTTGACAATATAACATGTAAAATCCCAGAAATAATTTACCTGCATGCCATTCTTAGTAGGCTGATAAAATCTTACATTATCCTGTCCTGTCCACCTTGCACATGAATACCTTTTGTCCTGTATCCCCACATCGTAGATGCTGCCCATGCACTGGTCACCTAGACATCTTAGTTTTGGGAATATAATAAATGTGCCAGGCGGTGGTGGCACACACCTTTAATCCCAGCACTTGGGAGGCAGAGGCAGGCGGATTGCTCTGAGTTCGAAACCAGCCTGGTCTACAGAACTAGTTCCAGAACAGGCTCCAAAGCTACAGAGAAACCCTGTCTCAAGAAAAAAAAAGAAAAAGAAAAAAGAAAGAAATATTGCAGGCTTATGTTCAAGTGACCACGTTCTTTGGTTTTAGTTTATTTGCTTTGTTTGTTTTTGAGACAGGGTCTCACTCCATAGATCTATCTGTCCTGGAACCCACTATGTAGACCAGGTTGGCCTTGACCTCACAGAGCTCCACATGCCTCTGCCTCCTGAGTACTGGGATTAAAGGCATATGGCACTATGTCAGGCTATGTAACCACCATTTTTTTTTTATTCAATAATTGACTCAAAGCACGAGAGTAGTGATGCAAAGAAGGCACTGGGCACAGACATGGACAGACATGTTAATTCTGGTGCTGTGCAGCATGTGACACTACAGGGTGCATGGGGGACAGCATGGGCTACATGAGCCTTGGAATCATTCAGTGTTAGGAATCCTCTGAGGATTTTAGAATGAATTCCCTACCAATAAAGGGCGACAACAATATTGTTTTCATTTTTATTCTTTTGTGTTTTGTGGTGCTAGAGAATGAACCCAGGCGGGCCTCATGTGTGCTCTAAAGAGTTCTGCCATTGAGCTCTACTTCCAGCCCTCCTATTCTAAGCTACAATCTCCCTGAAACAAAGCTCTGCTTCTCCTTATCTGTTAGGAATCCTTGGGTATAAACAATAGAAATTAACTATAGCAAACTTAAGCAAATAGGAAATTTTTAAAAAATATTTATTTATTTATTATGTTCTGTCTGTGTGTATGCCTGCAGGCCAGAAGAGGGCACCAGACCCCATTACAGATGGTTGTGAGCCACCATGTGGTTGCTGGGAATTGAACTCAGGACCTTTGTTAGAACAGGCAATGCTCTTAACCTCTGAGCTATCTCTCCAGCCCCCAAAATAGGAATTTTTTTGGAAGTAACGAGAGGTCCATATTATGAACATAAACCCGCAGAATGAGATGTTAATGGACAAGCAAAGGGGCAGTAAGACAAAAAACAGAAGTGCCAGTCTTGTCTAGTGGTAGGAGTCTGGCAGCATTCACTACCTTCAACCTTTCTTTCCATATTAAAGACACTTGTTTAAGATGCCAATTATAAGCAAAACTTCCCCCTAATAAAGCTTAGGTGGCAAGCTCCAGAAAACTAAGTAAGATGCTAAAAAGAATCCCTTTAAACCATGACAGATTCTGTGACCCAGAGCCTGGCACCCAGTAAGTGTTCTGGGTGTTTTGTTGTACTATGGATTTGGGGGCTAAAATTTTTTCCTTAATATTTATTTTTTGTGTAGAGTATTTTACCTGCAGCTATATATGTGTACTATATGCATGACTGGTGTCAGCAAAGGCCAAAAGAAGGCAATGGATTTCTAGGAACTAGAATTACAGTCATTTGTGAGCAGCCATGTGAGTACTTGAAACCAAACCTGGCTTTCTGCAAGAATAGCAAGTGCTCTTAATCGTGAAGTCATCTCCCCACCCCAATTTTATTTTTAAAAATTAAGTGTGTAGGGTTGGAGAGATGGCTTAGTGGTTAAGAGCACTGGCTGCTCTTCAAGAGTCCCTGAGTTCAATTCCCAGCAACCACATGGTGGCTCACAGCCATCTATAATGTAGACCTTGCGCCCCCTTCTGGCATGCGGGCATACATGGAAGGAATGATGTACACATAATAAATAAATCTTAAAAAAAAAAAATTAAGTGTATATGTGCATGCGCGTGCGCGCAGATACAGACAAGCTATAGTATAGCCATGGAGGTTGGTTCTTTCCTGCTACCTTGTTTCTGTGCTGGATGTTCCAAGCAGGTTGGTCAATCAGCTTCCAGAAGATTTGTTGCAAGAGTGCTGGCATTATGTACCATTAGATGTGGTGGTGTGAGTCCATAATTCTAGCACAAAAATAAGTGGATTTCTGTGAGTTTAATGCCAGCCTGGTCTACATAGTAAATGCCAGGCCAGCCAGAACTGCATAAAAGACCCCATCTTAACAAACAAATAAACAACAACAAAACAATAAAAAATCATGTTCTACTGCATGAACTTTTTACATGAGTTTAGGGATTCAACCCAGGTCCTAGGTTTGTGAGGGAAGCGATTTTACCTGCTAAGGCATGCAGGAAGAACAGCCCTGGCCTATTCTAGGTTTTGTGTGACAGTCAAAATAAAATCCATGAGTTTCGGGCTTCCCTTTAGAGTGCAGAAGAGCTGGAAAGAATTCACATGCACCTTATCAGTAAGAAAAACCCTGACAGCAAACAGGACTTTCCTTGACATTGACAGGGCTGAGAGCATACACAGCAAAGCATAAGGAATACAGAAGATAAGCCCATCAGACAAGAGACTGGACAGGGGCACTTGCTGGGCTGTGACAGGAGGAGCCACGGGGTGTAATTCAAACACACAAGAATTCATAAGCCAAGCATGGTGGTGCATGCTTTTAATCCTAGCATTTAGGAAGGCCGATCTCTGTGAGTTAGGTCAGTCTCTTCCAATGAGTTCCAGGCCATCCAAGGCTACATAGTGAGATCCTGTCTCAAAACAAACAAACAAACAAACAACAACAAAAAAAAAACCAAACAAATAAAAATCCAGCTACATCTTAAGTAACTGTCCAAAGCCTAGCATGGATTAGCCTAAGAATGTAACACTCTGGGCCCATAAACCCGCGTGGAACTGGTACTCACTGACAGTCTCTTCCCTGAAAGGCCTCTCCTGGGTGTGCCCTGATGGGAGTCTGTGTTCAGAGTAGGAAACCAGGAGGAGGAGGAGGAGGAGGAGGAGGAGGAGGAGGAGCACAATCCTTGTGGTCAAAGAACATGAAGCTCAACTGGGGCCCTCCCTCTCTTAGAAAGAATAAAGGTAAATTTGTTACTGAGAATGGGTAAATCAATCTTGTCTCTCTAATATGTGCTGGAAGAAGAGTCAAAGGAGGGGGAAAAAAAACAAACATGTAGGCCTGAGGGTGGGACAGTATCACTGAGCAATCTCACCTCTGAGAGCCAGGAAACAGGGGTTGCCCAAGACCAAGGCTGGACAAGGAACAGAGAGGACATTCTTGCCACCCTTCACCTAGCAAGGTCAAGTGGAAGGCACAGGACTCTAGCACTGAGGAAGGGCAGAGCATGCAGAAAGAATCCCTCTGAGGCCCAGAAATAAAGGAAGGCTGAAAGTTGGGAATGGGATCAGAAACACCAAGAACATTCTTTAGAAATAACTTCTGCCCTGATCACACCATTACATGGGGCTGGGTAGAACATAAACAAAGCAAAATAATAATCTAGACTGAGCTTAACTAACTTGATTCCCTACACTAACAGCCTAGATACTGCATAGCTCCTCAAGATAGACACTATATATCTTGATCTCCAATGTCTAAGTAAGTATCTAATATTCAGTAAGACACAGGTGTGTAGGTGCATATCTATAGTCCCAGCACTGGCAAAACTGAGGCAGAAGAATCAAGAATTTAAAATTAAAGCCAGGTAAAGTGGAGCTTGCCTTTAATCCCGGTACTCTGGAGGCAGAGGTGAGTAGATCTCTGTGTATTCCAGGACAGCCAGGGCTACACAGTGAGACCCTGTACCAAAAGGAAATAAAAAAGATTTGAAGCCAGACTAGGATACACAATGGAACCCATCTCAAAAAGCTAACAAAGGGCTCAGGAAATGACCCAGTAAGTAAAGCATTTGGCATGCAAGCATGAGGGAGGGCCTATGTGTCCAGGACTTACATAATCCAAGTA